CCCCCACTTTTTGGCGAAAAATATATAATGTCTGGAGATTTTTGTATGATCGGAAATGCGAAAAAAAGGAGGGAAGAAGGATGGGAAAGAGAATGTTTATCCAGTACCCGACCGAGTTACATTTTCTCGCAATTCATACTGGCGGATCTGGGGGAGGGGGGTCATTGGTCCTGACCCCTTCCTTGGGCAACAAAAAAATGGCAAAAACAAAAGTATTCTAGACCTACCTTTTCAGGACCCGTGAGCTTATTTTTTTTTTTTTTTTGCTATTAGAAAATTCGAATTTTGAAGAACATAACATTCATTAAAACACACTTCAAATGTCGGGAAAGCTCATTTCCCGCCACCTAGGAATCAAAATTTTCCCTGGGAAGAACCACAGGTCCTCCACACCCCCCTTCTTTTGGGGGTTTATCGATTCATGGAAAAGCTGCGTATGCAACTTACTCAATCTTTTTTTATGTATGTATACACACATAAGGTCTACTTACTGTAATAACAATGGGAAAAATTATCTGACCGTTTTCAAGAGTGGAAAACCTTGAATTTTGAAGAACTTAATTACTTTTAAGTTCTTCAAAATTCAAGGTGTTCCCCTCTTGAAAATTATTATAATAAATCAATGAACCCAAAGAAAGGGAGGGTCGAGTTCTTCCCTGGAAAATGTTGATTTATAAATTAGATTTCCCGACTTCTGAAGTATTTTTTATGACTTTAATTTAAAAGACACCTCAGAAGTCGGGAAAGCTCATTTCCCGCCTTCTAGGAATCAAAATTTTCCTGGGGAAGAACTCCCGGACTCCTTTCTTTTTGGGATTCATCTCATGGAAAAAATCGTATGCACAAAAATTTTTCGCATTTTTTCATATTAAAGATCGTGCTTGCTCTCCTTTGCCTTTCTAAGTTATAACACATAGACCCAAACTCAAGAAAGAAAATTTAAGATAGATCGTTTTACCTAAAAGAAGGGCCTCAATGTGTAATGATGTTGAAAGAATACATGTTTGTAATAAATAAAGCAATAAGGAAAATGTTTAGGCCTATATTCAGTTTAAAAAAACGAGTGTGGCCATATATAACACAAGAGCATTTCTTGTTGAGGTAGGCCAATTTCCTCTAAAAATTGCACATTTTAGGGAGTTTTGATCAATTCCGACGAAATTAGAATTTAAAAACACAAACATTTTTTCGAGCGCTACGCGCGCGTTTTTTCGTGTTAAAGCTTGTGCTTGCTCTCTTTTGCCTTCTAAGTTATAACACATAGTCCCAAACTCAAGAAAGACAATTTAAGATAGATCGTTTTACCTAAAAGAAGGGCCTCGATGTGTAATGATGTTGAAAGAATATGTTTGTAATAAATAAAGCCATAAGGAAAATGCTTATATTCAGTTTTAAAAAACGAGTTTGGCCATATATAACATAAGAGCATTTCTTGTTGAGGTAGGCCAATTTCCTCTAAAACTTGCACATTTAGGGAGTTTTGATCAATTCCGACGAAACTAGAATTAAAAATACAAAACTCTTTCGCGCGCTTCGCGAGCATTTGTTAGGGTTAAAGCTTGTGCTTGCCCTCCTTTGCCTTCTAAGTTATTTAAAAACATTAACAATCCCAAACTTGAGAAAGAAAATTTAAGATAGATCGTTTTACCTAAAAGAAGGGCCTCAATGTGTAATGATGGTGAAAGAATAGGCCTATGATTGTAATAAATAAAATAAATAAATAAATGAAAATACTTATTATTTAGTTTCAAACACACGTGTGTGGCCTATATTAATAATAAAATAAACCCTATGTCCCCCCTTATATGGGGTGGGGGTATCACACCAAGTCATAAATTACTAACCGGGAAAATTATTACCTTTGCTCTCATTATGTTAGGCGACAATTTGCTGATATTTTATTACTTTTCAAGTTATTCAACATACCACAATTAATTCAGACGATCTATTTAATATTCATCACACACACTGTAAATCTTCAGTTGATAATCTTCTGATATTCGTCGCAGCAGGACATAATTCTTTTTATTCCAATCTTTTACTCCACACGATACTAGAATTGGGAACATATTATCCGGTGAAATTCGTAATTTAAATTTA